GGAAACCCACGCAGGCACAGGGAGAACATGCAAACTCCAGGCAGGTAATGCCGTGGTTGGGATTTGAACCAACGACTCTAGTACTGCCAGTCTGCTCTGGTCATATGATCCTGCAGCTCCAGCTCTCCTTTGACAGAGAGTGGGCAGCTGCAGGGGAGAGGAGGGAGCGTTGACAACAGCTTGGTCGTGCAGGCATAGGGAGAACATGCAAACTCCAAGCAGGTGGTTGCATGGTTGGGATTTTAACCAACGACTCGAGTACTGCCAGTGCGGAAGTGCTAACCATTGAGCCACTGTGCTGCACTTGCCTAATAATTGTGCACACACTGTATATAGTCAGCTGGTGGAAGCCCGGGGGCAGGCCCGGGCTCTCCCATCCCAGCGCTTCCGACAGCTCACCATAGAGATGATTGAGGACCAGAATGTCCCCATTCATCTCTATGGTCTATGAAAGTTACCTGGAGGGGAGATGTACCTCCTTTTTTCCACCACCTGTAAAAGCGATCCAGAGCTAATTAGCTGCTTGGATCTCTTTTACAAAAAAAAGTGGTATAACCACTTAAACCCTTGCAACGTACCAGTATGTCGCTGGGGCTGAAGTGGTTAAGAGCTCATCCACACAGTTGTTTATGGGTACAGATCTCTGCTGTAAAATTCCTGGCATTTTTCAGTGGGAGGTGCACACTGCCGACCATAAAAGTGAATGGCTGTACACCTATGATGTATTCCCTGAACACAGACGTTTTTGCATGTGGGAATGATCTGATGTGCACATGAGGGGGTAGATGCAGAGACAAGAAAATCTCAATTACTCGACTACAGCAACTATTCACTTCTATGGCCGGCTGTACATGCCATCTTCCGCTCTCTGGGTGTGGAAAAACACCGGGAATATTACAGTAGAGGAGATCTGCATCTGTAAATGTCTGTATGTGAGCTCTAAGGGCCACTTCACACTATACATGTCTGTATGTGAGCTCTAAGGGCCACTTCACACTATACATGTCTGTATGTGAGCTCTAAGGGCCACTTCACACCATACATGTCTGTATGTGAGCACTAAGGGCCACTTCACACCATACATGTCTGTATGTGAGCACTAAGAGCCACTTCACACCATACATGTCTGTATGTGAGCACTAAGGGCCACTTCACACCATACATGTCTGTATGTGAGCTCTAGCCACTTCACAGGTATGTGAGCCACTTCACACCATACATGTCTGTATGTGAGCACTAAGGGCCACTTCACACCATACATGTCTGTATGTGAGCTCTAAGGGCCACTTCACACCATACATGTCTGTATGTGAGCTCTAAGGGCCACTTCACTACATGTCTGTATGTGAGCAAGGGCCACTTCACACCATACATGTCTGTATGTGAGCTCTAAGGGCCACTTCACACCATACATCTGTATGTGAGCTCTAAGGGCCACTTCACACCATACATGTCTGTATGTGAGCTCTAAGGGCCACTTCACACCATACATGTCTGTATGTGAGCTCTAAGGGCCACTTCACACCATACATGTCTGTATGTGAGCTCTAAGGGCCACTTCACACCATACATGTCTGTATGTGAGCTCTAAGGGCCACTTCACACCATACATGTCTGTATCTGGCTCTAAGGGCCACTTCACACCATACATGTCTGTATGTGAGCTCTAAGGGCCACTTCACACCATACATGTCTGTATGTGAGCTCTAAGGGCCACTTCACACCATAGACTGTATGTGAGCCTAAGGGCCACTTCACACCATACATGTCTGTATGTGAGCTCTAAGGGCCACTTCACACCATACATGTCTGTATGTGAGCTCTAAGGGCCACTTCACACCATACATGTCTGTATGTGAGCTCTAAGGGCCACTTCACACCATAGAAATGCAGTCCAGATGCATTCCAAATGCGTTTCCGTATGCGTGTTTTTGACGTGTTCCAGTGAGTTTTTTTATGCTTTCCAGTTATTTTTTTCCCCTCTTTTTCTTCTATTTAAATAGGGACATGTGCATTCCAGTGCGTTTTTGATGCATTTTACCACTTTCCAGTACAGTTCTGTGCAGGAAAAATGCATGATGTTCTATTTTTTCTTCTGTCACCAGAACTCATTGGAACTGTAAGCACTGATGGGAACTATTTATTTATTTATTTCAGGTACTTATATAACACCATCAATTTACGCAGCACTTTACATATATATTGTACATTCACATCAGTCCCTAACCCTCAAGGGGTGTACAATCTAAGGTCCTTAACTCACATTCATACATACACATACTAGGGCCAATTTAGACAGGAGCCAATTCACCTACCAGCATGTCTTTGGAAAGTAGGAGGAAACCGGAGTACCCGGAGGAAACCCACGCAGTCACAGGGAGAACATGCAAACTCCAAGCAGGTGGTGCTGTGGTTGGGATTCGAACCAACGACCCGAGTACTGCCAGGCGGAAGTGCTAACCATTTAGCCACTGTGCTGCCCACATTGAAAACCATATAACCTACTTTCTGTGCATTTTGGATGCAGAAAAAAAAACCACTGAAACGCATGTCCTGTGAACTGACCCTAAGGGCTGGTGCACACCAGATGCAGTCCATTGTGGTTTTTTTTTTTTTGGTTTTTTTTTCTTCATCGAAAACGCAGAGTATTTTCCATGTATTTCAGTGACCCTAGTTCACACCAATGCAGTCAGTTCCAGTCAGTTTTCATTTCAGAAAAAAAGTAGAACATGCTGCATTTTGTTCTGCATAGAACTGTACTGGAACATAGCAAAACACATTGAAAAAAACGCACGGCAATAGAGGTGTGAACTGTAAGCAAAAGCGTACCCAGAACGCATCCAGAGTGCATTTTTGTGGTGTAAACTGGCCCTAAGGGTCAGTGCACACTACGTGCGAGTCAGTGTGCTTTTTTTTTTTTTTTTTTTTTGGCATCCAAAACGCACAGAAAGTAGGTTATATGGTTGTCAGTGTCGTAGTTCACATTAGTGCTTGCAGCTCCAGTGCATTCCGGTTGCAGAAAAAAAGTAGAACAGGTTGCATTTTTCCTGCACTGAACTGTACTAAAACGCACTGGAATGCACATGCCCCTATTTAAATAGAAGAAAAAGAGGGGTAATTACATCTCTTGAACCCTTCAAGTATGTATTTCATATGTAACCGTTCCTCAGATGCGTCTGCATATTAATCTACCCGCAGGTGGAACGTTACCTGTGCCTAGGAAAAGTTATGAGCCAAAATATGAGCTATGAGAGATTTTGGTTCTAGTTTGGGTCTCCGCCCAGACAATCCCTCCCCAACTGAGGCATTGGAAGGCATCCAGAGTGCATTCCCACTACGTGCAAGTCAGTGTGCTTTTTTTTTTTTTTGCATCCAAAACGCACAGAAAGTAGGTTATATGGTTGTCACATCGGTGCTTGCAGCTCCAGTGCTTTCCGGTTGCAGAAAAAAAAAGTAGAACAGGCTGCATTTTTCCTGCACTGATCTGTACTGGAGCACGGTAAAACGCACTGGAATGCACATGCCCCTATTTAAATAGAAGAAAAAGAGAGGAAAAAATGCCCCAGAACTTGCCAAAAACACGTAAAAAACGTGCATGCAGAAACGCATCCGGAATGCGTTTCTGTGGTGTGAACCTGAAAGAATTTGGTTTACACGTTTTAGAATTTGATGTAATATGGGCAGCACAGTGGCTAAATGGTTAGCACTTCCGCCTGGCAGTACTCGGGTCGTTGGTTCAAATCCCAACCACGACACCACCTGCCTGGAGTTTGCATGTTCTCCATGTGCCTGCGTGGGTTTCCTCCGGGTACTCCGGTTTCCTCCCACACCCCAAAGACATGCTGGTAGGTGAATTGGATCCTGTCTAAAATTGTCCCTAATATGTGTATGTATGAATGTGAGTTAGGGACCTTAGATTGTACACCCCTTGAGGGTTAGGGACTGATGTGAATGTACAATATATATGTAAAGCGCGGCATAAATTGACGGCGCTATATAAGGAACCTGAAATAAATAAATAAATAATACACCTAGTAGAATGTTTTGCGAGCCGCGTCTTTAGAAGGCTAGCGCAAGTACTTTTATATGTAATAAACCACTGTGGGCCTCAGAGAAGGGTCAGGAGGGCCCCATGCGGCCCATAAAGCGCCAGTTTCATGTGCTGGTTCTATAGTCAGGTAATGTTGTCCTTTTTGGAGCGAAGCCAAAGTGTTCAACCACCCGTCAGCTTCAGAGAGCTCTTCCAAAGCTGCTTTAGGACCTAAGCACAGAGGGATTGTTTGATCTTTGCTTGTAAATGCTCATCTGAGTAGCATCAGCTTCAGTAGTAAGCATATGGCAGACCTTGAACTGCTCCCCTGATGCGCTTAACCTCCCTGGCGGTATGATTCTTTCCGATTTTTTGTGCTGAAAGCGGTACCATTTTTTTTGCATGGAAATATGTAGTTTTTTATTGTAGGCCTGTAATTTTTAGGAATAACTCACTGAAATCTGTCCAAACAAGAGTCTAGTAAACATCCCGGGTATGATAAAACTTGAAACACGAAATCATAAATTATAATTTAATAAATAAGCATAAAAAATTATAATAATAAATTTAATTCAATAATGTAATTAAACCAAAAACACTGAAACTTGAAACACAAAATCATAAATTATAATATAACAAATAATCATAAAAAATATAATAATAATAATAAATGTAACTCAATAATATAATCAAACCAAAAACACTGAAATTTGCAATATAGCGCCAAGTTCGCACATCGCTGAGCTCAGTCGCAGAATCGTTTTCAGTGTCTGATGAGGAATTTCCCCCACGAATCATTATCACTCAATTCTGCAAGTGGTTCTGATTTACTATCGCTGTTCTCTAGCCGGTCTAAAACCGCTTTTGACCTAAAGGGACGCTTTTTGGACGCCATGGATGTTTCTCAGTTTCCAGGCAGAAAGAACAGTCAAAATGCAGGCAGGGCGCCGGACAAAGCACTCGGGACAAAATGTATGTGAAATGGTTTGATACAGGAATGTTATACTAGTAAACATCTCGGGTATGATAAAACTTGAAACACGAAATCATAAATTATAATTTAATAAATCATAAAAAATAATATAATAATAAATTTTATTCAATAATATAATCAAACCAAAAACACTGACATTTGAAATACAGAGGCAAATTCGCACATCGCTGAGCGAAGTCGCAAAATCGTTTTCAGTGTCTGAGGAAATTTCCCCCACAAATCATTATCACTCAATTCTGCAAGTGGTTCTGATTTACTATCACTGTTCTCTAGCCGGTCTAAAACCGCTTTTGACGTAAAGGGACGCTTTTTGGACGCCATGGACGTTTCTAAGTTTCCAGGCAGAAAGAACATTCAAAATGCAGGCAGGGCGCCGGACAAAGCAGTAGGGACAAAATATATGTGAAATGGTTTGAAACAGCAATGACAGCAAAAATGAAATTTTTTAAAAATTTCAAATTTGCCGCTGGTTCCGGCGCCCGTACGTCCCAACATCACAGGGACCGGAACACAGAAGCCGGATGCTGGCATCGGCCGGAGGAGATGGCCGGGGACGCTGCAGGGGACACATCGCGGGAGCGAAGGACAAGGTAAGTGCTGCAGGGACCCCCGGAGCAATGCCGCATGGTAAGCCCGAGTGTAGCTCGGGGTTACCGCTCTTGGTACTCAAATTTTACCCCGAGCTACACTCGGGAATACCGCTGAGGAGGTTAAAGCTCTTCTCCGCTCTAGTCCAGGTCTGTTGACTACAAATCTTAAAGGCATTGAATACTTTCAAATGTTTTTGTTGTTATAACTCAGTATTAGTGTAGTTCTATTCCCTGTGTTGATTGTTTTGCCTTGTAATGACGGGCTCACATGTTGTGGCTGCAGTTTTTGTAATGTCATGACTGTTCGATTTCCCCCCCCCCCCCATGTGCATGTATTCATTCATTGAGCTTGTCCCTATTCACTTAAAGTGGAGCTCCACCCAAAAGGGAAGTTCCACTTTAAGCCTTTGTCACCCGATCCACATTAAGGATTGGCACCTTTGGTGAGTGGGTACCTGAATTTGACATGTACCCGCTCCCACTTCTGCTGCGATCGCCTAGGCCAGGGGTAGGCAACCTGAGAGCCGCAGGACTATAAGTTCCATCATGCCTCTGCAAGTCATAGCTGTAACTGTCAGTTTTGTAATCTTTGCAATGCTTTGTGGGAAATGTAGTTCCACAACAGCTAGAGAGCCGCAGGTTGCCTACGCTGGCTTAGGCGATTTGAAGTGGAAGTTGTCCTCATGTCCTCCCTCCCTTCCAGTAGTCTTCTGGAACACGTGACAGGTCCCAGAAGACTACGGGGCCATTCGCAAAGCGCAGCACTTCTCGCGCATGCGCAGTGGGCACCCGGCCGTGAAGCCGCAAACTGTCACAGCCGGGTGCCCACACTGAAGATGCCGGGGAGGGAAGACGGCTGGTGAAACCAGAGGTGGTGAAGACACCGCTGGACTGAGGGACAGGTAAGTGTCTGTATTTTAAAAGGCAGCAGCTACAGTTTTTGTAGCTGATTACTGTTTTTTTTCAGGTGGAACTCTGCTTTAAGGGACAGGCAACTTCCTGTTTGGGGTCAGGCGTGTCCAATCCATGCCGCGTCATTTCCTCTTACGTTGCATCACAAATGTGATGAAAACACATCAGGTTCATTTATTGCACTGCGGGATTGTGTCGCTGTCACATCTAATTAGTGTGGATTTCTCACCTGCTGAGCAGTGGCTCCAGTGATCATGGGATATGTCATTTCTAAACAGGAAGTGTCAGTTCTTATACTACAGGCCAGGCATTAACCTGTGCAGTGCCATGCCACATGCCTCATGTCTGAACACAAAACACAAACTTCTGAAACTGGAATGTGAAGATTTACTCTACTACAGGCTGTGTTCACAAGGCAACAAATGACGCCATGATACTACGTGATCAATGCACATCTTATACAGGTGAAAAGCACAAGGTGCAGGTAGGGGGTTTATAATGCCTTTAACCCCCCTGGCGGTATTCCCGAGTGTAGCTTGGGGTAAAGTTTCAGCACCACAAGCGGTAACCCCGAGCTACACTCGGGAATACACTGCAGCGTTGCTCCGGGATCTCTTCTTCACTCACCTTGTCCTGCGCTCCCGTAATGTCCCTCCTGCAGTGTCCCCTGTAATGTCCTCCAGCAGATGCCGGCATCTGTCTACCGGGTTCCGTTCCCTGCGGCGTCGGGACGTACGGGGGACGGAACTGGCAGGAAATAAAAAAAAATTTGAAAAAGTGACATTCACACAATACACTAAAATCACACAGTATAACATTCCTGTATCAAACCATTTCACATACATTTTGTCCCGAGTGCTTTGTCCCGGCGCCCTGCCTGCATTTTTACTGTTCTTTCTGCCTGGAAACTGAGAAACGTCCATGGCGTCCAAAAAGCGTCCCTTTAGGTCAAAAGCGGTTTTAGACCGGCTAGAGAACAGTGATAGTAAATCAGAACCACTTGCAGAATTGAGTGATAATGATTCGTGGGGGAAATTCCTCATCAGACACTGAAAACGATTCTGCGACTGAACTCAGCGATGTGCGAACTTGGCGCTATATTTCAAATTTCAGTGTTTTTGGTTTGATTATATTATTGAATTACATTTATTTATTATTATTATTATTATATTTTTTTTTATGATTATTTGTTATATTATAATTTATGATTTTGTGTTTCAAGTTTCAGTGTTTTTGGTTTAATTACATTATTGAATTAAATTTATTATTATAATTTTTTATGCTTATTTATTAAATTATAATTTATGATTTCGTGTTTCAAATTTTATCCTACCCGGGATGTTTACTAGAATCTTGTTCGGACAGATTTCAGTGAGTTATTCCTAAAAATTACAGACCTACAATAAAAAAAATACATATTTCCATGCAAAAAAATGTACCGCTTTGAGCACAGAAATACTGACATCAGCCCACTAGGGAGGTTAAAGCTAAACTCTGGGCTGGAGAAAAGTTAGCCTTGTCCCCTGCACTGCAAAGATTACAGGCGTACCTCGGTTTATGAATGCCTTGCTTAACATAATTTTCGATTTATGAATTAAAATTCATTGAAAATAATACAAATTTTTTTCGTAATACAAAGTAAGTTTCCCCAAGATGCATTGCACCTAGGAGGTTTATAACGCCGGCTCCGTGCCTTTAAAGTGCACTTTATAAAGAGTTTTGAACAGATAAAACTTTTTTTACTTTTTTCTGACCTCCGGAACGGATTATCCCGGAGAACATATTAAATTAATAAACTGAGGTACACCTGCATCTGCTTGTTTTGTCTAGGGAAGGGGTCTCCAAAGTGCAGCCCGCTGGGACGTTTTCACCGATCCACAGCCTGAGTCCCCAGACTCCCTGCAGGGGACGGTCTCTGCTAAAGCTTCGTCGGGTTGCCAAACCTGCGATTCATACGCACCCCCACTGTGGCTGTATGCAGCATACAATGGATATAAAAAGTCTACACACCCCTGGTAAAATGTCAGGTTTCTGTGATGTGAAATGATTTATCTTTGTCTCATTATTTTACAACTTTTTCCACTTTTATTGTAACCTATAAACTGTACAACTCAGTTGAAAACAATCTGAAATCTTTTGGGGGGGAAGTAAACCATAAAAAAAAACTAAAATAATGTGATTGCATAAGTGTACACACCCTCTTATAAGTCCTCATGCACACTGGATGTTTTTACAGTGGCTGAAATGGCTTTTGACATTTTTTTTTCTACAGCCAGTAAACCCCTCAGCATGTTATCCTAGGTGCCCATACACACACAGACTGGAATCAGCGTTTTTTGGATGGAAAACCCCCCCAGAACTAGTGGGTTTCTAGAGGAGTTTTTTAGCTGTAAAAACACTCTAACGCTGAAAAATGTTGCAAAACGTGGAAAACCTCCGTTTTTGGAATTTTTTTGAGCAAAAAGCAAACCGCAAACACTTCAAAACGCTGCTAAATGCTAATGCAAAAATGCTGAAAAACTTTACACGGCTAATGTTACCAGTGGGGATGTAACTGTGTTCAGAATTAAGCAATCACATTCAAAATTATGGTAAATAGGAGTCAGTACACACCGACCATCATTTAAAGTGCCTCTGATTAACCCCAAATAAAGTTCAGCTGTTCTAGTCGGTCTTTCCTGACATTTTCTTAGTCACATCCTACAGCAAAAGCCATGGTCCGCAGAGAGCTTCCAAAGCATCAGAGGGATCTCATTGTTAAAAGTCAGGATAAGGGTACAAAAGAATTTCCAAGGCATTAGATATCCCATGGAACACAGTGAAGACAGTCATCATCAAGTGGAGACAATATGGCGCAACAGTGACATTACCAAGAACTGGATGTCCCTCAAAAATTGATGAAAAGACAAGAAGAAAACTGGTCTGGGAGGATGCCAAGAGGCCTACAGCAACATTAAAGGAGGTGCAGGAATATCTGGCAAGTACTGGCTGCGTGGTCCATGTGACAACCATCTCCTGTATTCTTCATATGTCTGGGCTATGGGGTAGAGTGGCAAGACGGAAGCCTTTTCTATCGAAGAAAAAAATCCAAGCCGGTTAAATTTTGCAAAAACACATCTGAAGTCTCCCAAAAGCATGTGGGAAAAGGTGTTGTGGTCTGATGAAACAAAGGGTGAACTTTTTGGCCATAATTCCAAAAGGTATGTTTAGCACAAAAACAACACTGCACATCACCAAAAGAACACCATACCCACCGTGAAGCATGGTGGTGGCAGCATCATGCTTTGGGGCTGTTTTTCTTCAGCCAGAACTGGGGCCTTAGTCAAGGTAGAGGGAATTATGAACATCTCCAAATACCAGTCAATATCGGCACAAAACCTTCAGCCTTCTGCTAGAAAGCTGAACCTGAAGAGGAACGTCATCTTTCAGCATGACAATGACCCAAAACATCCATCCAAATCAACAAAGGAATGGCTTCACCAGAAGAAGATGAATGTTTGGAATGGCCCAGCCAGAGCCCAGACCTGAATCCAATCGAAAATCTGTGGGGTGATCTGAAGAGGGCTGTGCACAGGAGATGACACGCAATCTGACAGATTTGGAGTATTTTTGCAAAGAAGAGCGGGCAAATATTGCCAAGTCAGGATGTGCCATGCTGATAGACTCCTCCCCAAAATGACTGAGTGCCGGAATCACATCAAAAGGTGCTTCAACAAAGTATTAGCTTAAGGGTGTGCACACTTATGCAACCATATTTTAGTTTTTTTAATTTTTTACTTCCCTCCACCTAAAAGATTTCAGTTTGTTGTTCAACTGAGTTGTACAGTTTATAGGTCACATTAACGGTGGAAAAAGTTGTGAAATGATTTATCTTTGCCTCATTTTTTTACATCACAGAAACCTGACATTTTAACAGGGGTGTGTAGACTTTTTATATCCACTGTAATGTATGGGGTTTGAGGTAATTTTCTAGCAAAAACAAAATGATTGTTACATGTGAACAAAAAGTATCAGAAATGGCCTGAACTGGAGGTAGTTAACCTCCCTGGCGGTATGATTATTTCAGATTTTTGGTGCTGAAAGCGGTACCATTATTTTGCATGGAAATATGTATTTTTTTTTTTTATTGTAGGGCTGTAATTTTTAGGAATAACTCACTGAAATCTGTCCGAACAAGAGTCTAGCAAACATCCCGGGGGAGGATAAAACTTGAAACACGAAATCATAAATTATAATTTAATAAATAAATCATAAAAAATAATAATATAATAATAATACATTTAATTCAATAATATAATCAAATCAAAAACACTGAAATGTGAAATATAGCGCCAAGTTCGCACATCTCTGAGTTCAGTCGCAGAATCGTTTTCAGTGTCTGATGATGAATTTCCTCCACGAATCATTATCACTCAATTCTGCAAGTGGTTCTGATTTACTATCGCTGTTCTCTAGCCGGTCTAAAACCGCTTTTGACCTAAAGGGACGCTTTTTGGACGCCATGGATGTTTCTCAGTTTCCAGGCAGAAAGAACAGTAAAAATGCAGGCAGGGCGCCGGACAAAGCACTCGGGACAAAATGTATGTGAAATGGTTTGATACAGGAATGTTATACTATGTAATATTCGTTTACAAAAAAATGAAATTTTTTAAAAATTTTAAATTTGCCGCCGGTTCCGGTTTATACAGTTTATATGTTACATTAAAGGTGGAAAATGTGCTGAAGTGATTTATCTTTGTCTTATTTTATTACATCGCAGAAACCTGACATTTTACCAGGGGCGTGTAGACTTTTTATATCCACTGTAGGTTACGCAACCACTCTTGGTGCTTCCATGTGTTGGCTGCTAAGTATTTAAGTATTTCAGTGCACCCCCCCCCCCCCCCCGGTTAACTTTTGGTGTCCTTTAGTGCTGTACTTTTGTATACAGCATGTCTGTGTAACAGCAAGGTGGGATCTGGGAGGTGCAGAAGGTCTGCACTTATGGCACACTATACAGCAGCAGTAAAGTACTAATGTATAGAGAGATTGATCGGGAGGTAAGGCTGGCCATACACTATACAATTTTCTTGATAATTTTACTTTAGATTTACCAAAAACCATATAATATGAGGTCAAACCTAAACAATACTTTCAATTGTATCCAATTAGGCAGGCCCTTGTGCTACATAGTTGAAGGTAAATCTGAAGGAAATTGAACAGAAATTGGACAGAAAATTGTATAGTGTATGGCCAGCCAAACAAATGTGTGGGGTGGGGAGAAACTGATGGGGACACCGTTGTTGGGGGGAGGGTTGATGGCACTGAAGGGGACAGAGTTTGAGGGAGGTGATGGCTCTGATGAGGGCATAGTTGTATGTGGGGGGGTTGATGGTTCTGAGGGTGTCACAAATGTGCGGGGATATTCTGATGGGGACACAAATGTGCGGGGATACTCTGATGGGGACACAAATGTGCGGGGATACTCTGATGGGGACACAAATGTGCGGGGATACTCTGATGGGGACACAAATGTGCGGGGATACTCTGATGGGGACACAAATGTGCGGGGATACTCTGATGGGGACACATGTGCGGGGATACTCTGATGGGGACACAAATGTGCGGGGATACTCTGATGGGGACACAAATGTGCGGGGATACTCTGATGGGGACACAAATGTGCGGGGATACTCTGATGGGGACACAAATGTGCGGGGATACTCTGATGGGGACACAAATGTGCGGGGATACTCTGATGGGGACACAAATGTGCGGGGATACTCTGATGGGGACACATGTGCGGGGATACTCTGATGGGGGACACAAATGTGCGGGGATACTCTGATGGGGACACAAATGTGCGGGGTTACTCTGATGGGGACACAAATGTGCGGGGATACTCTGATGAGGACACAAAT